AATATAAGCTAGGCAGAGAGAACCCAACACCTTCAGAGGTCTTACTCAAAGTTTTGCTCTGATTGCACCTAGGTACAGATTTTTATCCCATTCGTTAGTATCATTTACTGTATTTCAATGCGTTTATTACTGCACTAACATAATTTAAAGGGCAGTGTCTCATATTTTCCCTGGTTGGGGGTGGGGAAAACATTTAAGCTCCTTAAAGCTTGTTTATTTTTCTTGAGGCTAATTACCTGCCCGCAATGACTTAATTTTGCTTATTACAAGTTTTAAAATGACAAGTTCATCTGAGACCGGAAAACAGTGATACTTTTGCAACAGTAAAAGGCCACAATCCTGTAAGTACTTATGCATATGCTTCACGCTTTGCATGTAAATAGGCCCATTGACTAAATCCCAGTTCTTTGAAAAGAAAGAAAAGACTGAAAGACAATCATTGTTTTCCCAGGCAAACAGTGCAGGAGAAGAAAGGAACAAGATAGAAATATAGAGAATTAACTCGTTTTCCTTCTCCTACCACATCCTGAAGCTTGTGAAGTGATTTCAGGTATCTAACATTTCTTCTGAGTAACCTGTTTTGTCAGGGTCTTAATGATTTTTACTAATTCTCCAGGGCAATTTATTCAGTCAGATCTAATATGGTACAACTTTAAAAGATTTTGAACAACCAAGGAAGCACTCCATTTGATATTCAGCCTCCCTGGTTTTTTGTTTGATCGGTTTTTTTGTTTGTTTGTTTTTTGAGGTTTTGTTTTTTTGGTTTTTTTTTGGGTGGGAGGGTATCTCCAAGGAAAATCATATTTTGATACTGTAGAACTGAAATAATTAATCCCATGCTGAACAAAATAATCTCATGCTTCTCTTAGGCTTCCCGGTTAGATCCATCCCCATTTCTTTTACTCTGGATGAGCAGAGGTGTGTTGCTCCAAGTGGAGTCACCCCCTGCTACAGCTGGCAGGACCGCTGAAAACAATACTGCTGCTGTCAATCCAGTGGCATGAGGGCTGGGCCCAAATTACAACCTGGCATGAGCTGAAAGTGAGCCTGGACCTAGCAGTGAAAAATGATAAGTAGCCCAGCCAGAGCCACATCCAGCTGAGCACAAGAGAAATGTTAAGTGCCACCTCTAGCCACAGAGGGGAACAGCCCATGCCCAGTAAAGGATGGCAAAGATCAAGACTGAGTCCAAGAGAAGCTTGTGGTTTATGGCTTTCCTGATCCAGGCAGCACGTAGTAAGAGCACTTCAGCAGCCAACTTGACATATTAAAACCCGTGTCAAAGCTGCATCATTGGAGGCAGGCAAGGTAAGTATGTGCCAAGTATGACACCAAACCAAAAGCAGGTGACCCCTGTGCACCATCAGTGAGTAACAAGGCACAAGCTATGACTCTTCAAGCAAGCACCGCCTTCTGGGAGGATAGAAGTTATTTTAGGAGCACTGTGACCCTTGATTTACGGCATGAAATGACCATGTATTGATGTGGGTTAGAACATGACTTCCTCTGTTAACATCTTACCACAGATGCTGCAGAGAAGCTAGGTAAGATAGCCCACATTAAAGCCTGTACTGCTGTGGTTAGCTTGCTGAAACTTCAGCTGTCTTGCATATTCCTGTACTACATTGCAGCCCGAAGTGTTGACATATATTTAAGACCCTTCACGTGTAGGCATACCGTGAGAGCTGCAGGCTGTAGCCCAGCCTAGTGGCCCACAAGATGTATTCAGCGGGTAGAGGGTTGTCACTATCGGTGGAAAAAAATCTGAAAACATGCACAGATAGCTAAAAACAGCATTGCTAGCAGACGATAAGATGCCCATGACTGTTAACAGTGGCAAAGACATTAGTAAGTGGAAATAGCCTTATATTGCACATGCGTGGGTTCCTCTACAGGATGATAACTAGATACACTGTCTTGCCCAACAGTGGGTCATGCTTTTTCCATTTGATAAAAAGCACCACTCCTTCTGAAGTTTCTGCCATTATTAAACTTTCAAACATGAGTAACTCTTATGTAGCTATTACTGAGCCTGCATGAGAGATGTAACAAGTGGAAAGAATGAAAATAAATTTGCTAGCATTAATTTTCCTATAACTGCTCTTTATCGGATTCTTGTAATAAAAGGATCCTAGATGTGCACAAACTAAAAACTTTATTAAAGCAACTGGGAACAGACCTACTGCTTCAAGGTTCTTTCTTTTTTTACCTGACAACGTGCAAGTTTAGTTATTGCTGACACTGTCAGTCAGTCCACCACAAGCCAAGCTTGTACAATACTCTTGATTTATCAGGCAAGGGGGAAATGGAATGGGAACTTCAGTAACAACATTACTTACCGGACTTGAGGAACAGTTAGAACAGGAAAAAAAAATGTGCAAAAGACATCAACTCCATGAAGTGAGTCTCGCCCCCCACTTCAGCACAAATTTCTTCAAGCTTTCATGTCAAAAGCTCAAATGCTACCTAACTCCCTGCAGGATAACAGTGTCAGGGATGATCCACAACTCTCCAAATATCAGGCAGGTGCCTTGACAGAGAGTATTTCAGAGTTTATCTCTGAAACAAATAAAATACATTGTTCTTCAGTGATTGAAGATTTGATAGATGTGTACTTTTGAAAGACTGTGAAAACGCATGGATATTCTCCTATGGAAAAATATGCAGGACTGAAAACCTTCATATTTGGCCTAACTTTCATTACTTAACAAGGAGTTCCTAAATAGACTTTGAAGTGGAAAGCACTGTGAAACAAGCACACCCAGGAAATGGTGACACTGACATTGTTTGTGCAGACATGATTTAACCTACCTGCATGCAGCACACAAGACACATACCTAAATCACATGTATACGCACTGTGCATCTTGGATCACACACAGGTATTATTTAATTTTTTTTTTAAATATAGCATCCCTGCTGCACTTTATGCATGTTTAGTGGGAAGGTTGGACTCCCACTCCATGCCATCCCATGTTGAGGCCTCGTAGCAAAACACTCAGGCCCAATGGAGAGGGAACGATTATTTACTTCAATGTTTTTTCCCATGATGCGCTCACCCCAGTAACCACTTACTTCACTTCCACTAATTGGTCTCAACTACTCCTGTGAGACAGATATGGTTAACATGTGGCTTTTAAAGGTGGAGCACGAAGCTAATTGGCTTCACTTCACAGAACTCCAGTAGAAGTTGGTTGCTGCCATGATAGCTAGCAGGCAGCCTGACAGAAAGGTGCACATCCCTCACCTTCCTCCCCAGGTTCCTCCACCACTCTTTTTCCTCCACCTACTGCTTTTAACATAAGTGATCGCCTCCCCGCAAGTGCCAGCTCTGAGGGTCTGTCATTACCCTGAAGAATGACACAGCAGGGAAGGGATCACCAGCATCAAACCCATCCATCAGCTTCAGTGCTCAGTTTGAGACTCCCGGGAAGCAGCACTTGGTAGAAAGGCACTCCAGCTACCTCAGTGGCTTCAGAAGTGCTGCAAGCCAGGCAGAAAGAAAAAAAAAAAAAAAATGAAATTTTAGTGACCAGGGATAGGACACACAAAACTGCCCAGAGAAACAACCATTTACATTATCCAGTCCCTGTCCCTTCTTGTCCTGCACATAGCTGCCACATCTTTATGGCCCAGACACGCAATCTAACAACACAACTAATGCCATCAACTGCTTTTTATCCTCTGTGCAGGAGATGAATGATGTTTGAGCAACAGAGACCAGGAGCAGCCCCCAGCCCCACATGACAGGGACACCACAGCCAGGTACCATTCCCCACTGAGCCCAGGTTTTGGGCAGCTGCAGCCATGGGAACAGAGCTCACAAACCACGATCGTGATGCAGGATGCAGCCAATTCACGCTGCGGATACGTGCACTGTTACCCTAATGGAGCAGGAACAGTCAGAATTACAAAGCTGGTGATGAATCAGCGAGTCCAAGAGAGTTTATATATAAATATATTTTAAAAGATGTTATTTAAGGGAGCAATACAGCATGCATCAGTAACGAAGGGATTGTGGCAACCAACAAATTATCCCCTGTATGAAATTCCAACAAAATTGGGTAATGACAAAACCCAAACGAAAAAATTCCATCAGGGTAAAATAAAAATTTCAAAAAACAAAAACAAGCACTAGAAGCCTTGCAGAACAGTGATCTTTCCTCCTTTAACTTCTACAGGACTGGAAGCCAGATGTATTTTTTTTCCTCTCTCCATTTTGCCAGACTGCTGAAAACTAAGCCATCTTGAACACATATTGAAAATGTAATTAAAAAAATCTCCTTGATTATTGCTTTTGGATCACCGAATAACCTACAGGATGACAGCTTCTCTCCTATCTTTAAATCAGTCTAGAACAAGTTGGGGGAGAGCAAGGTGGGCTTGAGGTTGGGCTTAAGCTTAAGGATAGTTTGCCTATTTCCTTTCTAGAGGGAAGAGATTTTTTTCCACCCTAAGTAGATGCAGTACATTTTCTCTTTAACAGAAAATAACAGATTAGTATATGACTTATATGCTAAGTGATGTACAATGTACATTCAAATTCTAGTTTGTTTCTTTTATTAAAAAAGATTTGTAACCCCCCCACACACACACACCTTTCTTACTGCATTTTACTGAATTTCCTTCACCTTCATTAAACACGTTTATGTGCCTAAAGGGGAGGTTTTCCAGTTTTCTGAGTCTATCAAAGCTGCCTTTCAGAACAAGAGGCATCATTTCCTCTAGGGCCTGAGAGCATCTCCCAAGAAATAAACTTCTCCAGCTGCTCCACTGGGGAAATGGAGATTCAAAGCTCAACACCAGCTGGAGGATTTGGGGCTCCTGTTTTTGGGGTAGGCTTCAGCTTACCTGCTTGCACAACCACATGTGAAAAATGCTGTCAAAGAGGAACAAGGAGCAGCTTTGCTCCTCACCACCAACAAGCTTGGGAAGGAACGCACAGAAATAGGCATCGTTGCATGAGATGAATATTAAGAAAAAAAAGGGACAAACACACAATTTGTTTTTGCAGTTTATTAACGGAAATGTTTTCCTATAATTAATCACGGTCCAGAAAGCTGCTCTATAGCACGCCGTGCCTCCCTGCCCCCAGCCAGCCCCCATGCGGCCTGAAATTTTGCAAAGCCCTGCATTGTTCTCCCTGACACCGGATCAGCCAACACAAAAAAGCAACTGCCAGCTCAAAAGCAATCCGGCGATAGAGCCTGGTGCTATCTAATCAAGGGCAAAAGGTCACTTCCGAACAACTGGGCAATAAAAGATTATTTCCAGCCGCAGAACAGAAAGGCCCCGTGGTGGATGCTTGAAAGGGGGGGGTGGGAGGAGGGCAAAAGGGCTCCCGTCTGTGGGAGGAAGTGCATTGAATACAGCCAGCAGACGGGAACCATCTGGCTTTGTGAGCGGTCTGTTCTTGAGGAGAGAGAAAAAGCCCCCTCAGCGGGGCCGCTGACTCCGTGCATCGATTCAAGCCGCCTCCCCCCCCAGCTTGAGAGCAGCTTTCCCAGGCACAGGGACTCGGAAGGGAACTTTCCCAAGGGGCGGCCGCGTCTTATCAGGGGCCGGCTGCAACAGAGGGCTCTGGTCAGGCAGCCAGCCCTGCAAATGACCAGGCGAGGCTGTTTTTACCAGCTGTGTTTTTAATAGCAAAACAGATTTTTTAGCAATATTCCCCACCCCCCCCCAACACTTCAGCACTTCCCCATGCCTGCACACCAGGCTGGACGGACATCTCCTCAGGAATAAACTTGGAGCACGCAAATCGCATCCAGAGCCCGCAGAGGAGGAAGTCAGGAGCACTGCCAGTGCTTTGGGAAATATTCTCCTTTCCAAAAGGCAGGGGGGTGGTCACTGCACTCCTCTTTACAGCTGGCTGCGGGTCACCCCGGCTCATCTGAAAGGAAGCCGAGTTCAGAGGCGCAGCTTGACATTCATTGGTTTCTAAATCTGAACCTCTGAGCGATTGTCCCAGCAAGCCCAAGGGCTGGGGCCCGAGCAAATAGCCTCCAGCTAATCCTGTTGCAGTAGGGGGGAAACGAAGCAGTTAAATGTCCAGTTTATCAACAGAAAAACAACAACTGAGCCTTTGTCCTAACAGGGTGCATTAGGAAACCGTTTGGCAGGGCTCATATGCATGAGAAACCAGGGCAGCTGGGAAACGCTGACGTACGTTTTAGAGAGAGCCACGAAGATATCGGATGAGAAAAATACTCCTTGCATTGATTTTCTCCAAGGTCAGCTTCAAAAAGAAGAACTCAGGAATTCTGAACATGTCTGACACAGCTTGACACTTCAGGGTTTCATTAAAAAATAACGTTCACCTAAAAAAAAATCCTCAAAGCAAGAATTAAAACTCAGAAACATGACAGAACAGGCTCTCCACCATAGCCTGCTTGTGACAGGTCAGAAAACAACATTATCAACATCATTTTGGCCAAATGGCAAAACCAGGGCTGCAACAGCTGCAGTATTTATCATAAGCTAAGTCACAGGGCAAAAACACCAGCACTTCCACTACAGCCTCACCAAAACACTAGGTATCAAACAGATGTGGAAACACACAGAATATAATTCAGAGACAAGGCCAAAGGAAAAGCCTGGAGTTCAAATGGATCACTGTAAAGTGGAATTAAAAAAAACACACATACACAACCAGTGTCACTCACCCACACCTCACTTTTTTTTTTTTTTTTTGCCATTCAGTACCTATTCTTATTTTTTACTCAACTAAAAGTTTCTTATTAGGTAAAAGCATTTTTCTCTAAGGACTTTAAACACTCAAAAAGTAGTGGAAAACCACAAGCAAAAGCCTCTGCCTCCACTTTCCCTGTTTCCTCAGGAGCCGAGCAAAAAGCACTGCATGGTTAATCAGGGCAAGGTATTCAACCCACGCAGCATACATGGAAATTGTGTTCCACTCACTGTGCAAACCCTGTGGGGAAAACTACCTGAAGGCAAAATGTGCATATATATATATTATTTATATATAAATGTGTGTGTGTGTATGTATATATATATAAAGCAGGTGAATCTCAGGTCAAGTCTGTTGCTGCTATGATAGCAACACTTTCAGCACTTCAGAAAGGAAGAACACGTATTGGAGCAACGAAATTCTGCCTAGGAGAAGACATCTAAGAAAACACATCCGCATAGCAGTCCCCTTACAGACAACGTGAAAGCAGATGATGAGATTATCAGGAAGAGCACAGCCCCAAAATGCCATGACAGGAATTCACATAGAGCTTTTAAGGAGAAGCAAATTAAACTTTTCCTTAACTGCCCTAAAAAAAAAAAAAAAAAAAAAAAAAAAAAAAAAAAAGGAAAGAAAAAAAAAGGATGCTTCTGTACCACAGCAGTGCAATATTCATATTTCAGTCACAATCAAGACAAACATCTAGAGCAGGAGGGCAGTTTCTAGTCCCAAGTACAGTAACAAAAATAAATAAATAAATTATTTCAGAGCCACATCAGCATCCTTTGAGGCCAGAGCACGCCCCAAGAACCCTATGCTAAGCAGCCACCCTGGTTTCCACTTAGCATTAATTACAAGCCTCTTTCTTAGATAGTTTGGCAGCTTTGTGGTTCAAGGAGGAAAAAAAAAAAAATATATCCTATTAAGTGTAGCCCAGCAACCCAAAGACTGAAAGATGGGAAGCTGTTCCCAGCACGCACGAGCAACAGAGTTGCACTTGAAAAAAGAAGTTTTAATTGCAAGACGTATTTCCAAACTACCTCGCTTTTTGGGGGCCACCTGGATGGGGCAAGGCATGCTATAAGGCAGTTGATGCCCCCCAAAAGGCAGCTTCCCAATACCAGCCACATACAGGGCTATGCTTGCAAGGTTTTAAATGCATACCCTTCATATCACAGAGGTATCACCCAAAGGCCCTGCCCTGGACAGGGACCATCTCTGGTTATGCACCAAATGGTTAAGTGTACATTCATTTGTTAAGTACCTCAATGTGGTCTCTTCAGAAAATGCAGAACAAGTACTTTGCAAAAAACAGATAGTATAATTCTCATACCAAATAGCTGAAGCTTAACCACAGGTCAAAGGCCAGTTTTTTCACAACACGCTACCTGAAGTGTGCCACTGCAAACTCTAGCATCATAGCATAGACTCACCAAATATATGCCAGGTGCTCCAGCACAGGAGAAGACAACAACATGATTCCCATAGCCATGCAGTGATATATTATCTCTCTCAAGTGATAAACAACTCCCCAGAGCTTAACATTACAGATCTTGTGGAAGGCCCAGAGGAGATCAAGACACACTGTGAGCTGTATCAAGAAGAACAGGCCTAGAGCTTACCTTAACATCTGAGCAAAGGCTCTTTTCCTAGGTGTGGCCCCTCTGAGATGAATTTGCACCTGCTGACTTTGCGGAGTAACACAGCTACTCCCTAGGAGCAGAAACGAGCCTGCACAGGAGCCTCTGATTGCTCACAGCTTTCAGGGCAGAAGGTTTCCATTTCACACTGAGCTTTCAGATCCTGGAGCACCAGTCTACCCTGTCCTCAGTACCCTAACTTGCTTAGCCAACGACCCACAGGTGCACTGCTTGATCTTACTGACTTGGGATCCTGCAGGGTTGTACCCTGAGGGAAATATACTGCAGTAATCTACTCTGCAGATTAGGTGTGCAATCACTATTTCTTACATCCAGTTGTAAATCAGACGGTTTCCTGCCTAGGCCTAGATAAGAGGATAACCCCTAGGCTATGCACCAGCTGACAATATCAAGTCCTTTTGTTAAGGAAATGATTGCAGATGACTAAGTGCTTTCACCTGTTTCCTTTTGTCAGGTAGCGTCTCTGCTGTGTGCCTGGACTGAACTAAGCTCACAGAGACAAGCATGAGAAACTATTAGTCCCCTAGAAAGTGGAAGCCAGGGGGTGTCAGGGACCAGTAACCAAGTGTGGGCATTGGGGTGTCCAGCCAGAACGACAGGCCAAAGCCAGGAGCAAGGGCTGCCCAAGTGCTGAGACAGCTGCTGAAGCCAAGGCTCGGGTGCCATGGTGGAGGAGCTTCTCCAAACCAGCCTTACATGACATCCCCTGTTTCCCCAGCTGAGGAGCTCCAAAAGGACAGTTACCCCTACCCAAAATGTTCCCTTTATAATGAGCTTTTAAAGCAGTCATCTTTGAGGCCATAATTTTTGTACCCAGTGGTTTCCTTTCCGTACTATCTTCTTACTAATGACTCCAGAAAGTGTAATAAAAATACTTCGTACAGCTCAAATACATGTAATAAGTTGGAAAAGTCCCTTGAGATCATCAAGTCCACCCCTAAACCATGTCCCTAAGTGCCGTGACCACTCATCTCAAATACCTCTAGGATTAGCAGCTCCACCACATCCCTGGGCAGCCCATTCAAATGCCTGACCACCTCCTCCATGAAAAAATTCTTCCTGACATCTAATTGCTTGTAGTGTATTGTTTATTTCAAGTACAGGACCAACACAGTAATGTCTCATAAAGTACCCATTATGTCAGCATTAGCTGTTCTGGGAGGAAATGGACAGGAAGATGGCATCGTTTCCTTGTTGTCCCAGAACAAGGTTGAGATCTGAAGGCCGGCCTTCCTCACTCAGGCTTTTGGTTCACACTGCTTCTTGTATACATAAAGTATAAAATACCACTTTATCAGGACATTGACTTTTTCCAACGGAAGGAGCAAGAATGCAAAGCAGGTTCCACCAAAGCTTATGATCAGGCTGAGGAGTGGGAATTGTTTCTCTGGAAGGAAAGCCTGGAGTCTCAGGGTCTGTTGGCCTCCCCTTGCACTTGTACCTCTGCCAAGGCTGGAGCCGGGATGGGGAATTTTACAAACTGTTTGCCCTTCTGACTCCGATGTGTCATCGCACATCCTCGTCCAACTCACCCATTGTTTCTGTGTTGTCATTCACACTTCTCTCTTCAGCGCTCATTGCAGAGCAGCTCTGTGGGGTGCCCACCACCTTAGCTGCAGGGCCTGGGGCAACTGGCTCTGCCCAGCAGGCTGCGATGTCATGTCTCGTAACCCATCAAAAGCACCTTGTTTAAAGCAGAGAGCAGATGAGATCATGAGACGTCTTAACTGTTCTGTGCTTCTGGCATACCACCCACTTATCTGGGAGGCATTGTGAGAGGATATTGTAAAGATTACATATAACCAAAACAAAGTAGGCAGGCATTCCTCTGCCCATCATTTGTTTTGGCAAATTTACATCCTCTTTGAAAAACACGATGGAGGCATCGTTTTCTGCGGCAGAACATCATGTACAAGCGAGGCTGACAAACAGAACGGTCTGTCCAAAGTCACAGAGGAAATTTTTGACATGTGAGAGGAAAAACTTTGTTTTATGTTGACTGTGTATGCAAATATCCCCACATATCATCTCTGTGACCACAGAAGGCAAAAGCAGCGAGAGAACGGGGTTATCTATCATACAGGCCATGTCATAGGACATATTTTTATCACGAGTTATATTTTATATAAACACTCCAGAAGAGTCAGAGAAGTGTCTCTTTGAAAATATGTCTCAAAAGAAGTCAGAAAGCGAGCCAGAGGCAGAGATGAAAAATGCAGGGAAAAAGGACTTCATTGAGTTTAAGTGGCAGCGGGTGGGAGTCACCTCACGTAACTCCAGCCACCTAGCTCTTAGGCATCTGCTTTCATCTGCAATTCCTCTGCAGCCATAAGAGCGGGGTGCCTCCAGCAGCAGGGCTGGATGCTAGCCTGCACAGCAGTGCTTTCACAAAGCCCTGCCTTGCTGGGGGTCTGGCAGGGGCAATGAGCAGGTCCAGCTGAGGGACACCAGCCTGGGTCCTGCAGTCTTGCCCCTCCGTGTTAAATAAGAAGCAGTACTTGCATTGCAATGGCAAATAATTATTCCATAAGGGAGGAAAATGTAATATATTATCTCAGCACTTCTAAGTCAAGGTGCCAAGAAGCACTGCATTTCCTCAGCATTATCCTCTGCCAGGAAAAGGTAGGAGAGCTGTCTGAAATAAAATGAGTGTGTGTATTTATAACAGAGAAAAAAAAAAAAAAAAAAAAAAAAAAAGCACTCCTTACTCCTGTAAGAGAAGTAAAAATGCAGTAGATGTCTATAGTGTCAAGTTCCAGCCGGACACAAATTGAAAAAATTAAGGGTTATAATTATTCTCTCAATTTGAATAAATAGTCTTTAGTGAACACATATAAAACCACTTTATTTCCAATTGTTTTAACTATCTTCACTGAAACTTCAAAATAAAATATTAAGAGTATTAAGGTTTACAAATCCCAAATGCTAGGTATGTAGATAGACAAAAAATACATCAAAGTGCTCCTATTCACTTGCACCCCTGCAGTTGTTCTGTTTCTCTTCTAGTGTGAGCCCTATACATTGGGGTCAGGACTTGGCTTTATCTTGACTATTCTAAGCTATAAATTAAAGGCAAGATGGACTAACAAGGTCAATATTTTTAAAAGACTGTAGTTAGTTTCTGAAATCCATATGTAGAAACTGAGTTAAGCTTGATTTTCAGAAATTTTGAGGTCGCATCATCCAGTGAACAAAGCCAAATTTTAGGTAATCCTTCATGAATTTCACTGCAGGCTCTCATTTGACAGAGTACATTGAGCAGAATTTGCAGCTAAACCTGATGCACTTGTTTCCCTATTACCTGTGGAGCTGCTGAATCTACATACAAAGTGCATTTCTGTCCTCTCAGGTGGACAACCACTGGCTGGCTCATGTAACCTGCCCATCGGCACACTCCTGAGACAGAAACATGTAAGTCAGGAACTCCTGGGTTCTTTGGATTAAATCCCATTGGAAACAGGAATAAAGCAAATAGAAGATGGGCACCCTCCATCTTTGGCTGGTATTTTCCTTAGACGTACAGTGTGGGCAATCCTTGCCAAGTTCACCAGCACATTTGGAAACCTTGGGAGTGAGCATCAGGCAGGGATGGTGAAGGGCACCTGTGGTGGGTTTGAGCCAGGACCACTCTGTTGTGGCACCCCAACCCCTGCAGCTGTAGAGATCGCCCCAGGTCACCCCAGGCCACTCCAGCTTTTCCTCTGGAGAACTGGGACAACATCAAATAAACCTGAAACAAGTGTGGGTACAGGAGGGGCTTACGCTGCTAGAGAATTAGGGAAGGGTAGTTGTAATAGAGAACTACACTGTAAAGTAAGCTATGTGAACAAATACACTTGATGCTACAGCAGTTCACATTTCCCTAATGCAAGGGAACAAGATTTACCAGTGGTAGTAGTAAGAGGCAAAATTATTGAACTTTTCTAAAATGTATTGTAGTTCTCAAAAAAAAAAAAAAAAAAAAAAAAAAAACTTTTTTCACATCTGTCTCCTGTGTCTTCCTAAATTATCAACAAGGAACTGGAGAAAGAAGGAAATTATCACAATCACAACAAAGCTACAAATTAGGCAGTTTTGCAGCTTGGCTTTAAGACTCTTCCCAAAATTTCTCCCTCTTCTATTTCAGAGCTCCTGATGAAGATCAGCAACAGAAGGCCCATCCATTCATCTGTCCCAGCTCTGAAGAAAACACATCCAAAGTTGCTGCCATGCTTACTTCCTTTGGGGATTGTTTCTACTGCAAGATTTACAGTCAAAATGATATCACCTAGGTCATAGAAGTAAGAGCTACAACAGGAAGAAGGAGAAACAGAAGTGGGTTAATGAGTCAGACAGTTTTTCCGATAGCCTTGCAGATGGTGAGAACAAGAAGCAAAAACTGTGTTCACAGTTAAAGCTAATGAAATGCTACAAGCCTCATGGGAAACTCAGGAACACAAGCATGAACTGCAGAATTGTTTCTCATTTTGTGCCTTTTTTTTTTTTTTTTTGTACTTTCTTAATTGTTCTAATTCATGTAGATGGTGTGCATGTACAGAATTCCATCAGGTGCTGCTAGAAACTTCCCCTGTTTGGCTCATAGCCCTGTATCCATATGTGTGTAGTCTCAGTAACTACCTGCAAAGCTGCACCTTCAGGCCAGGAAGTAAGGAGAGAGAGCAGATGCCTGTCCCGGAGCCTAAGAGCTCATTTAACACAGAGAGGCAGCCCTAACGCTAAGGCTGCAGCCTCCAGGTATGGAACTGTGTGATGTGATGCTTTCCCTGGTGCCAGCCAAGCGCCAGAAGTCCCTTCCCCTGGACCTTTGGTCCAGGTGCCCTGTATTTAGTGAATGGTTGCATTGGCATTACAGATTAAGGCAGCAGCTTCTCGGGCCAGCAGTCCCACCGCCAAACCCTGCCCTCGGCTGGCAAAGGGACAAACAGAACCAGAGGCTGCCTCGGGGCAG